TTGTTTGTGCACAACACCCAGTGCTCCATGCAGAATGTGCCCTCCTCAATACCCGCCACCAGGCTAACCCATCTTCCCACCCCCCTCCCCTCTAAAACCCCATTTGTTTTTCAGAGTCCATCGTCTCTCATGGTTCGTCTACCCCTCCGATTTCCCCCGCTTCATTCTTCCCCTCCCGCTACCTTCTTCTTCTTCTTCTTTTTTTTTTTTCTTAACATATATTGCATTATTTGTTTCAGAGGTACAGATCTGAGATTCAACAGTCTTGCACAATTCACAGCGCTTACCAGAGCACATACCCTCCCCAGTGTCCATCACCCAGTCCCCCCATCCCTCCCACCCCACCCCCCACTCCAACAACACTCAGTTTGTTTCCTGCGATTAAGAATTCCTCATATCAGTGAGATCATATGATACATGTCTTTCTCTTTTTGACTTATTTCACTCAACATAATACCCTCCAGTTCCATCCACGTCGTTGCAAATGGCAAGATCTCATTCCTTTTGATGGCTGCATAATATTCCATTGTATATATATATATACCACATCTTCTTTATCCATTCATCTGTCGATGGACATCTTGGCTCTTTCCACAGTTTGGCTATTGTGGACATTGCTGCTATAAACATCGGGGTGCACGTACCCCTTCGGATCCCTACTTTTGTATCTTTGGGGTAAATACCCAGTAGTGCAATTGCTGGATCATATGGTTGCTGCTTCTTTTTGTAAGCCTTTTGCCAGCATGTAACATGCAGTCCATGAGCCAACATTTTGTAACGTGTCCTCCAAATTTATGTCAAAGGAGATCTCAAATCTTAACTGTTATATTCCCAATAAATCCTTCAGATACTTTTAGAAACAAATATACTATTACTTATAAATTAGTCACTCTTCAGAGGTAAAGAAAAAAAAAAGCATCGTGAAGTCTTTTGTTTTCTGACTGAAAATCTTGCAAAGTTCCATCTTCATTTTCCCTGACCACCAGCTCTGTCTGCTCTAATAAGACTTCCCAGTCAGCTGTATATGAAATAATACACACACAAACACACATATACACACAAATATACGAAGAGCAACATGTGAGCCACTCAGCGCTGCTTGTGACGCTTTAAGACAAGCAGTTGTAATAATCACATTTTGTGAGAGTCAATGAAAAATTCATTTCTTTGGCCCCAGTCACCACATGAATGGCCATTTGTTTCGTGACCATTTTCATTATTATCTAAATAGCACTTTATTCCAAACTCTGTCTACAGAGTCAGGAAATGAGCAGTTTGTCCCTAGCTAGTTCTCCATCTTCTGTCAAGACAGAAGAAAAATTACTTTCCAGGAAATCAGCAATATCTGTGTTCTGATGTCAAGTTTCACTATTATAATTTCGAATGGACCAATTTTCTCCTTTGCTTTCTTCCTTTTGGTAATATAGCGTGGTTACGTGAAGAATCATTTATTTATTTATTTTGGTTGAATCAGTGGCTACGTCACTAAACTAGACATAGCTCAATACTTTTTGCATGTTTAGTTCCTTTCAAAACTTGTTTATGATTCTATAAATCATCTCCTGCATCTCTTAACTTTTGAAACATACTGGTTTTATAGCTATTTAAATGATACCTTCTATTGGTTGTTTTCCTGGCATCCTTTTTAATGACCAGTAAGCATTCATTGGAGTCACAGAATCATCAGGAGCTTCCTTGAGACTTAGGTAATTTAAGGAATTCCCCCAGGATTTCTTTCTTTTCTTTCCTTCTAATTTTTTTCGAGAGAGCACACAAACAGGGAGAGGGGCAGAGAGTGAGGGAGACTGAAGCTTAAGCAGGTTCCACACCAGGCATGGAGCCTGAAGCGGGGCTTGATCTCAAAGACCCTGAGATCATGACCTGAGCTAAAATCAAGAGTCGGAAGCTTAACTGACTGAGCCACCAAGGCGCCTCTCCCCCAGTACTTTATAAACACATATTCTCTAGCAGAGTGAAGGCAAGGATCAAAATGGTTTCATTTGAGGATTCCTCAAGGCTTTGTACACAGGCATTAAATAATTACTGAGGAAGTGAATAAGCAGAAAAAAGAAAGGAAGTAAGGAACAAAGGAAGAAGGAAGGGAGGGAGAAAAAAGGGAAATATATATATTTTTTAATGTCATGTGATGGTAATAAAAAAGTAAAAAGCATGAATGGTGGTGGCTGCCACTTACTCATTTTTATTTCCCTATCTGCTTTTGGTCAGTCTCACAGATAATCAGGCAGGTTTACATACAGACTATGGCACTGATAGAACATTAGTTTCACCTGTCTTCACAAAAGACTAATCGAAACAAATAAAATGACCCAAATGAGGGGCCACGGCACGACATTTCCGTTCAATATACAAAATTAAAAACGATCTAAGCTTAAAAAAAAAAAATCAGCAATCTTTCTTTTAAATAAACTAAGTGCATGGTTTAGTATAGTGTAGAATATTCCCAGTCATGCAGAATCTATCATATGAAAACAAAGAACCTTGCGTTGTACGGAGGTTAATACCTATACTGCACAAAGAGCACATTAATTTCTTTTATACATTTGTGAAGGTGACCGATGGGCATGTGGTTTGATATTATATCTTTACTTAAATCAGAAGCAACTGTTGACACACGATGTAGCTATGCAGTTTTGGAAAGAGAATGTGATCTCTTTTTCTGAAAGAAAGTCTCCCCAGTGCTGGAAGGGAATGCCACGTGAATGGGAGAGATATAACATAGGAAGCAAAATCAGAGCATTCAATTAAAGACTTTGGTACATAAAAGCTGGCTCCATTTCTCTAGAGACTGGTTTTCCAGGGAATAATAAAAACAATGAAGTGAAGAAGTTGATAAAATATTTTTGCTTTTTCCCAAGTCCAATATAAATTGTAAATCATGTGGGATAGTAATTAGAAACTAAACAAAACCACCACCTGCATTTGGTTCCCCAGAGACTCAGTTAGGTTACAGCATTGATTAAGAGTATCTGGATACCTTGGCTGATACCACGATCCCAGTTGAGCCTTATAAAAAACACAATAACCAATACGCACAGGGGTGGGGGTGGGGCGCTAAGTGTTTCCTTGGCTCACCATAGCAAGATGATGCCCACCTGGGGATTTTTATTTCTGTTCATACCCTAGACAGATCCCAAAAGGAGATGAGTCTGTGATTGACTGAGCTTACTTACAAAGAGGATCCCAAGTAGATTTCCGCGGAGTAACTTCCCTCTCTAGGCTTATGAAACAGGCGCATTAGTCTAATTGCCCTACAGAAAGCCCAGTCAAAGGTTGCAGAAGTGTTTGTGCTTCGCCCTCTCTAAATGACTTGCAAATTTATTCAAACACAATATGAGGAGATGCTTTATTTGTTGAAATAACTGTCTGCAGTGTCCTGCACAAAAGGGTGAGGTACATCAAGCAGAAACATGGACAGAAATACATTGGTTTAGAAACTCATAAATCCTTATTTGAATCTGCCAACCTGAAAGCCACGTAGAGCCCGAATAAACTATTTTTCCTAAATGCTACATCTGATTAAGCCATACCATTAAATGACAGCTGAACTTTAACATTAATATGATATCATTTAAATAACCACATGATTTTTTTTTTTACACTAAAAATGATGAATGATTTCTGGACAGCTCAATTGACATAAAGCAGGAGGACTCTTTAATGAGATTTGACAAAATGGAGACATATGCAGAATATTCGTTACAGCTCACATCGCAGGGGCCCTCCCAGGGAAGCAATAGAGGACTTTTTTCCTTTTTTTCTTTTTTATTGTCTATAGGCACTGAAGCATTCCTTTCAATTGCCACTTCTCTGTGGATTTTGAGTTTTTCTAGGTCATTTACATATTACTCTTAAGCAGAGAATCTGGTGGCTTATGGTTTTGAATCGGGACTGTGCCTGCAGGAAAAGCAGGGACATGGGGAATTAGGTCAGTGTTGGTTGGAAGTGTCCGGGAAACTTCAGGCTCGCTACTGATCAGCCTCATGGAGACCAAGCAACTATACCTTTGTTTGGTTCTCGTGCCATCCATCACGAACACAGCAAACACACTTCTAGCAAATTATTATATACAGATACGTGATCAGAGACTTTCCTTACTCTAAAACAGTGTCTCTACAGTATCAATGCCAAAGGATTTCTCCTTTAAAATTCCAGTGAAGCTATACTAGAGGCGATTCTCACGATTCCTCATTCACATTTCCAGCTACGGTCCCAAACTGAAGGTTATGCTAAATGATAATCTTATTTGGTAGATTCTGAATCTAAGAAAATGCCATGCTGAATATACTTACGTAAAAAAAATGGTTCTGATTTTCAGAACAATGAAAACATTTCTCACTTCCCTCCAAAAAATACAGAATACAGAATACTACCCACTCATTCATTGATTTTCACACTCTCCCCAATATTTTCCATCAGTCAAAGGTTAGGGACAGACGTAAAACATTAACATTTGTTTGCTCAAACATGTGAATTCAGATTATTGAGATATTCTCTAAATTTTAAAAAGCATCTTTAAATATATGTAAAATCGAAATACTTCCCCCAAACAGCATCTCTGAAAGAAATGAAAACAAGGCAACAGAGAGAGAACACAGCTAATACCGAGAATGCTCCTGATACCGGCAGGCCCACATTCCTTCTATAAGAAAGAGGCTATCGAAATAGAAAATAAAATCAGTCTGCTCCTGCCATGGGGACTTCCTCGGGCTATGAAAAAATACTTCATGTCTAACCCTAATTTTTTCCATAGCTTGAGGTAACCCCCCTAGCTCAAACCTTCTCTCTAATCTAAGTTATTCAGTATGTGTCCCTGTCCAAACAAGAGTTAATATCCGTGCTTTGTCATTTCAAAGGGGTCTTGACACAGGGTACTAAGAGCAGAGGCTCACATGCCTGGAAAATGCCCCGTTGCAACTAGATGAAAAACATCGTTTCAAAAAAGGGAGAGAGAGGAAGATAGGTCCCTACCTTGCTCTTACCTTCGCAACATCCCCGTCAGAACCCTGGAGCTTTTCCCCAAGTTAGCATCTGTTTCCCGAAGCTAGGAGGAGAAAAGCAGCATTAAAACAAAACAAGACTTCATGCAATTGGATTGTTTTGAAAGAGCACTGGCAAGCAGTAATTTTTTTCATGGATGAAAATCCAATTAGTAATAGATACTTAAATACACTAAAATACATCTTGATACCTATACAATCCCTGAAAAATTCAGATTTAGAAAATTACATGTAATAGATAATCCCAGGAGCATTAAACTGGATACTTGAACTGGCTATAAAAGCAAATATCTCGTAGACTGACAAAGTTGAATACACATCTCATAATTAAAATCCAATTTTGAACGTGTGAAGTCCTAGAAATATGAACGGAAAGGAAAATAAACTGAGGGAGGAGGAGACATCATTATCTTTACAGCTTTCACTCTGAAAGACTTGACATACTCCAAAATCTCCCTCATGACCTTCTGTTAGAGAGCTAAATAAAATATCTACCTGGGGGCAGTACGGGATGGGGAAAGAAAGAGTCAGCTTATTCTTTCTCTATTCCACACTCTTTTTTTCTTCTCCCCTTACCCGACATCCCTCATATACCCTTGCCATTTTTATACACACTTATATTTATGTCATCGCTACTGTCTATGCATGTGCTGAAGGCCTTTTGTTTTATATCTTCTCATTTACTGAATTTATGAAAAAAATTGTATCACTTCTACTTACTCGTTCACGTGCACGCTGTATTTTTTCTCTGTCATGACTGAGGTTTTCCAACATCTCCTGGCCAATTTGCTCTGTGGAAAAGGAAATCTGAGTGAGGAAAGGCGACTTTGGGTGTAAGTACAAACTCCAGAAGTACCACAGTGGCAGTGGGTGCAGAGTTCACGTTCAATGAGTGTACATTATATATCGGATACGTGTTTCATATACTTGGAAAATATGTAAGAAGTATTTAATACATTTACCTATGTATCTTAGGTATGATTAGGTGGGATTTACAATTCAATCTATAGAAAGTGACCAACAAGGCAGTGATGATGGAGAGGCGACAGGACTTGCCCAAGGCCACCTCGGCCGATTTGTTATCTGCCCAAATGGAGAGCCCCGGTCCAGCGGCCTTCCTATTACCTTATCATCCTGCAATCTAGTCTCTGGTTTTGCAGATTACAACAAACGCTAATGAGTCTACTCTTCCTCCCCCACTTTATTATTGCACTGCTTTGCGTATGCAAGCGGAACTCCAATTAGAGCAATTTTGATTTTAATGTATTCGTCCCACATACACAGTCCTTGTACTCTTGTACTCTCAACCAATATAGCTTATTGCTAGTGGAACTCTCTCTGGGCTTGGAGCAAGGGCTCCTTTAGTGTGTTCTCAGCTGCCGTGGGTACTTGAGTCAGGATGAGGGGTACTTCACACATGGTTGAGGAGAGCTCAAGCTGCAGACAGAACTTCCATTTATACAGGAATAGGCAGGTTAGAACATTCATTAAAAAGCACACTGCTGAGTTCCGACGAGGTTTTCTTCTGCTGTGATCATCCCATTTGGTTGGCACTGGCTGGCTCTCCTCCTTTTACGAGAATGTAGGTATGTCCTAACCTGACAAATATGCAGCTGCCTTGAATAAATTTTTTTTTTTCAGACTTACTCTCCATCACCTGGGAGGTACCTTATTCTATAAGAGAAGGATGACAAATCTGACTCACCTGTAATTCTGGCAACCTATCTATCACATGCACACATTTCTTTCTTTTCTTTTTTTTTTCTTTTGTATTGTTCGTCTCTTTACCCACAACCTATACCAACAATTATCCTCGGCTTATAAATGTATTGAAACACTCAACCAGCATCTATTACAATGACAGCAAATAATTTCATAAAGTCATTAGGAAATCATCATGGTAGTTATTTGGCTCATGTATGTACACTAACAAACTTTTTGGAGGGACATCCTAAAAACTGTCGGGCAGTGGTTAGGCCATATTGAGAGCTTAGGTTGGGAACTCACATTGCATGAGCCTAATCCCCAGTGCCGATGCTTACTGGCTGTGTGACCTTGCATATGTTCCCTAACTTCATCGTGCCTTAGTTCTTCACCTCTAAAATAGAAAGAAGATCATTCTATGTCAAGGGGCTGGAGCAAAGGTTAAATAATTCGGTTAAAATACTTAACATAGTGACTGGCCTATAGCAATAATAAGCATTTATTGAATGATGATGATTGATATAAAGAACCAATGGACTGTTATGACCTGGGTCCTCTCCCATCCTAGGTCAGCTACAACCCACTGGAACTGGGAATCACCAAGACAAAATATCTGTCCTAACTTCCTCACAAAATTGTGGTTATAGTCAAATGAAATAACCTTAGGAAAAATGTTTTGAAAGTTATAGGAATATCATACAAATGCATGTAATTGCATAATACGTGGGAACCAATGCACTCAGTGAAAAATCATAGAATTCCTACTCTGTGCTCGGTGTAGATGCTGGGGACATGGCCAGTAAAGAAGATCAAGCCCTTGTACTTCTGAACTTTTGTGCTGATAGTGAAGATTTGGCAGCCAAAGGGCAAATGCTACATTAGAGTTTGTCTTTCATGGCACAATAGAAAAAGGACTGTCTATTCCTTTCATGATAAAAAATCCAAGTAATAAAAAACGCTTAAACGCAAAAGCATCAATGTATTTTTGATACCTATACAAACTCTGAAAATTCTTTCCAGTAGAGTACCTTCCTACTATAGTATCTCCTTTCAGACAGATGTTAGCTTCTTTTTAATTCTATTCAATATATCCTTAAGGTACTTTGGATAAGATATGTGGCTCCCAGTAGAGGCACCATAAATGTAGAAGATGATACCAATAATGAAGAAGGAAAAACCAACTAGAGTTGAATTTTTCTTTTTTGCAGATGAACTATAATACTCAATTCTGTCATCCTATTAAGTATCACACTGACTTCCTTTAAGCAACATAATTAAGCAATCTTAATTCATTTTAGCTCAAAATCTCAAATATCTAGAGGCACCATCAATACTCTAATTATTTCAGCAAAATACTACTTATATAATATTTTCTCCTATCAAGATTAATGGCATTATAATAAATAATTTTAAACAAATAGGAAATAGGTTATCATCACTGTGCCTGTCACCAGCATAATGTTTCCAGTAAGTGTTCATGGAAGGAAGCAATGAGAGATGGAAATAGAGTACACGGAAGGAGTATATGAAGTGCATGAGAGGTTTGTGATCTATTCTTGCTCTCAAAGCATATCCAGTGGGGCATTGGAGAAGTCAACATTGGAATGCAGCTAACAGATCCACAATTCTATCACGTTTGCTAGGGGAAAAACTATTCTGAATGGATCCATAGTCTGCTACTGAAGGAGTCAATAGAACAAGCAGTGAAGAGCTCAGGCCTTTCCAGGAGCTGTTAAATCACTCCCTCAATCTCCTGGGAAATATCTCAGCATCCAAAGTCCTAACCCATCTGGCAAGAGAAGAGATATTGGCAAGAGTGCACACGTCTTGGTCTTAATACACGGATACCATCCATTTGTTGGAAACAGAATTCTTTCTTTCATTTCTTATTTGCTACCTTCGTTTTTAATGCCCCAGCAAAGTCCAGGTCAAGCATATTAGAAATGCTTACACTTATAGGATGAAAGGAGAAATTCATCAAACAAAGTTAGGTGTGGTTTTTTTCCTTATGTGTTCCTCTACTCCAATCAAAACAAAACAAGACAAAATTGGAAAGGATTAATTTTAAAACAGACTCTCCTTGGGCAGACTAGTATTAGACATTTAGGGATCATCTTATTAAAAAACTCAGTAACACTGTTAGGTTCACTTTTCTTGAATAATTTCAGTGAAGGTGTAAGCACTCACCAAACTCCAATAAAGAAAGAACACAAGCTCGTAGGCCTAAACCACTGTGGATATGATATTCCCAGTTTAGAGTTTTCAGATCTTGAAACTTTCACAGTGCCTTTAGAATGGGAAATAGCCATGCTGCCTCCACTGAAATAACTTGAGAAATCATAAATTTTATAAATACTGCACTTGTTGACTGTGAGGATCTTCTTGAGAGTAAGAAACAATGGGAAGCATACAAGAAAATCAAAACTGATGCCGTATGCTGGAATTCTACATGTCAGTGTGAGCATGACAAATGAATTCCTGGAAAGAGAAGTTCCTTCCTGCTCTTCTTCTATCCTTCCCACAGGGGTCCTGGGAATTATCCTGGGAGTATGGCATTCAAACTCACTAAGTGAGTTCTTGTTTTCACAATATCCAGAATGAATCATATTCTTGATCTATGGCCCCTTTTTTGGGGGTTACAAACGGCAGAATGCATTTTGGCTAACATTTCCTCTCCTTTTCAATATATTTGGGGTGGGGTTAGGAGAGACACACCAGGCGCTCTACACTTTCCTGCCTCATGAAGGAAGAGAGAAGCAGGAAACCGCAAATCTAGCGAGACACTTCCGGAAGGACTGACTGGCCTGGCATCACAAAAGATAAGACTTAGCTTGAGCAGCCTGTGCCACAGAAAGCATCAGTGCTCTTCATTCAAAATAATAATGTCACCTGAACCATCATAAGACCGACATGAACGAATTTTAACAAATAATTATCGGACTTGTATTTTGGAGATGAGCAGATTAAAATATTCTTCATATGAAGGTAGAACTGACTGAGGCTCACATCATATTAAAACATAAACATGACTGAAAGGCAAGGAGCCTCAAATATAATTAATCAGAAAATGTCCCATTGATAAATTCAAAATATTAAAAAAAAATCTTAGCCATTATACTATAAATAGTGCACTCACCAGAAAAAAATTGATTATTTTTCATCACACGTCCATTTAACCCTCTTGTTGCAAACTTTGTTAAGGATGTGATTGCCAGCAAATTACTTTAAAAAGTGAAGACATCCAGTTGAGTCTTCTTTAAAGAACTAAGATAAGGTAAGGTTATTTTCTGGCACTCAAAACTTCATTAGCAATTTTAGTAACAGGTAAAAGGTATTCATAATTATCCAGCTATTGTGCAGATAGGGACTTCACTGAAATGCAGGACTGCATAGAAATACCATAAAAGAGCTATTTTTTGAAGAACGTGCTTTCATATGTATGCTGCAGAACACTGAAAACCACAAAACATATTTCCTAATAACGTGGAGTACTGAATTTTGGACCTGACTTTGGAACTTCTGACCACCAAACTAATAAAAGTACTGCTTTGGGAAAGCAAAGGAAGTCACACACAGACTTCCCAGGAGGGAGCAGCTCATGGAGTGCTTGGGTCAGCCATTCTTTGGCATTTAGCACACCTTCTTAGACACTGACTCTGCTATCATGCCCTGAGTGGGGTAGGTTATCCTCAGTATTGATGTTACTCAGACATGAAGAGTCTCGAATTCCCGATGCCTGGAAAAGTAAGGGAAAGGAAAAGGCAGTTCTTTCACCATCTTCCATTATTTGACAACTCAAGACACGTGAGGAATTTGTTTCCAGGTAGGATGTAGAAAGATGTAAATGAGTCTCATAGAAACAAGAAAAACCCAGACACAATAATTACCATTGTTGTGTGGGGAAGTCCAGTATATGCAAGGAAGCTCTGATAGATTCTAGAGAGAAACAAGCACCTCATATGTGAGCAAAGAGCTATGGCAATATTCATAGCTAGGGTGAGTGCCTGAGTTAAGCACAGGACTGCCATAGAGAAACTTCTCAGGGATGAAGAGAAATCATTCAGACACCTTATGAAAATGTAGGTGT